AGTTCGAGTTCTCCGTCACAGCCGTGCACGTGCGCACGTACCACAACGACGTGGCGGACTGGCTCACACGGGAGGAGCTCAAGAAGGCCCACAGCGTCCTGGCCCGCAAAGGCTGGGATCGCCGAGAGCCTCCCGAGGCATGGGGCCAGATGCTCGCCGAGGCCAAGAACCCGTTGCTGAAGCTGCCGGGGGAAGAGGGTGATTTCGCCGACGCAGCACGGCGACACTGCGCCCGGCGCAAGCCAGCAGGGCCGCCAAAGGCCATCCAGCTGAAGGGCGTGAGGGGGATCGTCCTTGGGATCCCCCTTGGCACCTACCAGAGGGCACTTGTGAGCCTGGGAGGGGTCGAAGGCTCCGAGAGTGACGGGGTGGACCGGGTGCTGGGCTCGCTGACCCTGGACCCCAAGGGTTTCGAGAGCGCCAACCTCCTGACCTTGGTCACCCGGGCGCGTCCCCAGGTCATCGTGGTGGACGCCCCCCGGGCGCTGAACGTCAAGCCCGTCATGACAACGCTGGGCAGCCTGGGACATCAGACGGCGGAGCTCGACATCGCGTGCTCGCACCACGGGGACACGACGGCCAAAGCGAGGCGGGTGGTGCTGGCAGGACGTGGCCAAGCCGGCGCGAGCCCGGCGCGCATGCGAATGCCGCCGGCTCGCCGAGCGCCCCACGGGGCACGGCACCAGCTGAAGAGCGACAACGCGGGCGAGCCTCACGAATGGCTCGACAGCTTGGGAAAAGTCACCTGGGGCCTGACAGTCAGGAGCAGTGGAGACGTCACGCTCCCGAAGGGGGTCGACCACCTGACCATCGACGGGAAGCGCCGCCTGGTGCATTCCTCAGAGGGGCCGACAGGCACCGTGAGGTGGCCAGGCAGCGGGCTTGCAGGGCCAGGCGGAGCGCTTCTCCACGTGCGAGGCGGAGTCGCAGGCCAGGCGCGCGCCCTAACCGCTGAGGAGACCTGGCTGGTCCAGGGCGGGGCGCAGGCCGAGTGGGCCCGCCGCCGCCAGGAGGGCGAAGAGACCAGCGCTCTGCTACGAGAAGCCGCGAAGTCGCTGCCTGCAGAGACAGCCTGCGCATTGCTCGAGGCAGCAGCAGCAGCCGTGGCCGGCGACTGAGCTAAGGCTGGCGGGTGCCGCGACCCCGCGGAGGACGCCGCCTGGAAAGCCAAACCTGGGAAGGCGAGCCCAAGTGGCCGGCGGCCCGGCAGGGGCCCAGGGTAAAGCAGGAGTCCTTTCCGACAAAAGCCACAAGGTGCGCCAGAAGAGCCAGGGCGTGAGGGGCATGAGGTTCCGGCAGATCGAGGACGACGTGATCCAAGGTCCCGAGGACCCACCAGACCTGGCCTCCGTCAAACTCGAGCCCGCCAAACTGGCCAATGCGAAAGTGCCCGTCACCAAAACGAAGCCCAAGAGCAAGCGCCCGCGCAGGTCAGTCTCGCCAGGGCAGCCGCTGGTGACGCCCCAGGCACTGGGGCAGAGCTGGGCGGAGCTCCCAATGGCGGAACGGCCCCTCCTTGGCGGGGAAAACTACCAGGAGTGGTTCGAGGGACAGAAGCACAAGGCCCTGATGCAGCATCCCAGCGAGGGTACTCGTGAAGGGCACGGGGCTGGGTGGCGCCAGTGGCAGGGGCGCCGCAACGCTCAGCAAGAGTCCCCCTGGCTGGAGGGCCGAGACAGGGCCGAGCGCAAGGCAGACGAGGACGCCCTGATCGGCTTCATCATCCTGTTGGCGCGCTTCCTCGAGCGCACTGTCGGCACGATGAAGCAGAAGCTGATGGCCATCACGTATGCGCACCTGGTAGTGGGGCACGGCGACCCGCTGCTCCACAGGGCGCGGCTGCGGTCGACACTGGCCAGGCTGCAGCGGTGGCAGGGGCCCAGCGGCCGCAAGAAGCTGGCGACACCGAGGATGCTGATCTGGTACCGGAGTTTCCTCCAGGAGAGGGCAGGGCTCGCGGCACCAGACGTGGAAGCGATGTGGCTGGCCCTCAACCTAGCGTTCTTCTTCATGCTGCGTGCATCCGAGTACCTGGTCCAGGGCAAGAGCTGGAGCCTTGAGCGGGTGGTCCACGGCGAAGACCTGGAGGGGAGGGACAAGGCCAACCAGAGCGTGGCCCTCTTCAAGAACGCCGAAGAGGTCGTGCTGCAGATCAAAAGCTCAAAGACGAGCCAGTACAACGTGGGCTGCGTGCGGAACCAATACCGCACGGGCAACGAGCTGCGCCCGGCGCTCGCCCTCGAGTCCTTCGAGCAGCACTTCCCGGAGCGGCTGCGGGGCAGCGAGAAGGCCAAGCCGCTGCTCAGGTGGGCCAACGGGGACTACATCAAGAGGGAGGAAGTCCAGCACTTCCTCGTGGTGGCCGACCTCGCAGCCGGGATGCGGCGAGAGGAGGTGGGCTCCCACAGCTTGCGCATAGGGGGGCGCCACGGCGATGTATCATAGCATCGACGACCCGCAGAAGGTGCGAAGGTTCGGGAGGAGGGCCTCCGACACCTTCCACTCATACCTGTGGGAGGCGCACGAGCCCATGCGCGGCGTGGCGCAGCGCATGGCCGAGGACACGCTTCGGAGCTAACGCAGCCGCGCGTGAACTCCCTCGACCAGGGCGAGGTGGCCATGCAGAGTGCAAAGCAGAAAGAGGTAGCCCGCTGGCCGAAGGAGGGCTTGGCGAAGGCTAAGAGCCAGGGAAAGGCCGCCAGAGCGCTGGCGGCAGCCACCCTGGCAGCAGCGGTGGAGCAGACTGCTGGAGGGGCAATCGCGCTCCCAGGGGAGCAGCAGGGCGTGGCGTCGCTGCAGCTGTCCGAGGACGGGTTCCACTTCGTCCTGGTGGTCCCAGCGGGCGCAGCGCTGATGGCGTTGCTGGGGCTGCTGGGAGCCGCGTTGCTGATCGGATGGCTCGTGTGCCTGGCGTGCTGCAGCCGCCGGCCCAGCGAGAAAGAGCAGCCGACAGGAGAGAAGCAGGGAGGAGCTGGCAATACGAAGCGCCAGAGGAAGGGCCGCGGAGACGCTGGGGTCCAGGGCCCGTGCACTACAGCGTGGCTCAGGGTAGGTATGTGCACCTGTGTCAGGGATTCCACTGGGGGGGCCGCTTGGCGCTGGCTGGGGAGCCAGGCGCGAGAAGTGCTGGGTGGGGCCAGGACCCCCCCAGTCCGGTGGGAGCAGCTGCCCCGCGACCGAGGCGCCGCCGGCAGGCAAGCCGAGCGGCGCTCCCTGGAGCCGCCCCTGTCAGGCGCCGGACCCTATCCCATCGGGGGGATGGGGAGCCGGGAGATGGGGCACCCGCTGCGCGGCAGGCGCTGGACAGGCGCCACGCGGCCGAGGGCCGCTTCGCGCCGGCCGAGGGGCCGGGCGCGAGGAGCTCTGGGTGGGGCCAGGACCCCCCCAGTCTGGAGGGGGCGAGGCGCCGCAGGCAGACAGGCCAGCGGCGCTCCACGGAACCGCCCCTGTCGGGCGACGGACCCTATACCCCCGCGTGGGATGGGGAGCTGGGAGATGGGGCCATCCGCTGCGCACAGGGCACAGCAGCGCGGCGGCCGCCAAAGGGGCGCCGAGCGAGGCACCGTGCAGCCACCGGCAGGGCAGCGTGCGCCCGCGGGCAGCGGGGCGCAGAGTGTGGCGGCCGGGCGCCGGCGAGGCGAGCCGGGCGCACGGCTGCCGGCAGCAGCCGTGCCGCGCCGTTAGCAGCAATGACAAGCCAACGGGCGCGGCGCCAATACTTGCCAGGCGCCCTGTGAGCAGGGCGTCGGCAGCAGGCGGCCGGGCGCGCACGCGGGGAGCGCGCCGGCCGCGCCGTGGTCGCACAGGCGCCAGGCGCGCGGGCGCCGGCGCCAGCCGGCGACAAAGGTCACCCGCCTGGCACGTGTGTCGCGCGCTGGTGGAGAAAAAGAGGGGGACGGCGAGAGCCCCTGTGTGGCAGAAGACACGGAGGACCGGCCAGGCGGCCGGCAATCCTGTGGCAAAACGGAGGCCAGGGTCATCGTCATCTGACCGCCTATTGCCACCGCCTCTCCTGTCCTCCTCCTAGAGCCTTGGGTTCATGGGCTCTTCTATTATCTATGTTGAGCTGCTGGTGCGGTTAGCTAGGAAGTTTGATTAAACGTATGGCTCACCACGCCCCCAGATCGGCTAGGGCTTCCGTCTCCTTGCTGAGCCCTGGGTTCATGGGCTCTTCTTTTGTCTATGTTGAGCTGCTGGTGTGGTTAGCTACGTCTTTTGCCTTTGAGCTGCCAGCCGAACGCCAACCTCCGCATTCGGCGGATGCTACAAAAGGCCCACCTACGTAAGACTCAGACTTGGATGCGCAACAGTATGCAGATTATCACAAGCAGATTAAATCACTACGCTGGTCAGACTACTTGGGGGAACCAGGAGGTACCGATACCGCTACTCCCAGGACCTCTCTTGGAGCGCCTGCCCAGACTTCCGAAGCGAATCCAGCCGTGACGACGAGGGCCCCCCAGAAGGTCCAAGAAGGCGAAAATGAGGCGGAGGTGGCGGTATCGGTACCTTGTCCTCCTCTGATCGGCTACACACATGAGTGACCCTGGGTAAGAAACACCTTCGGTACGCGGCTTTGGGGGGCCTCGGAGGACCAAACACGAGCGCGCAAGACGCTAATAATTATGGCATCTCGTTCTGCAAATCGAGACCCCCGTGGGCCCGCACCAAAGGTCACTCCAGCGAAGGGTCACTCTGACGTGTAGTCGCTCATGCGGGACGATCGACATGGATACGGAAAGAATGGGTACAATGCCCAACAGCTGTTCCTGTTCATTTTAAACAGGACTCGCTGTCCGCGCCGCCGTGGACGTTGTTCTTTGAAGACAAGCCCAGCAGCGGCCGCTGTGGGTTTTGGACAACATGCGTTGCTGGGCATTGTACCCACCTCGGGCGTCCAGAATCATTGCGCTGTTCAGACTAACGCGCCGGCTCGCTCCGAGCGGCGACCCTCTCAGACCTGCGATTTTAGGGGGATGTCGAAGGTGTCGGCGTTGCGGTTAAGCGGCGGCCCACCGCGCACGTACGAGTGCTTCGCGTCGTACATGTGCTGCGTCTGGTCGTCCACGCTTACAGTCAACAGCGACGGGCTCCGCGCCCTCTCCTCTGAGGGCCCCAAGGAACAGACCCCCATCGACTGAGGACAAAATCATGTCGAGAGGCTCTTCCATATATCTGGCCTCTGTCCATATTTTCGGCCTCTGGGGGCCCTCGCCGGGCCTCGGGACCGTTGAAAAACGGCTCAGGATGAAAAACGGGCCCTGTGGAATGGGTCGAAACCACTGTGGGTCGACGCTAAAAGAAAATCATGTTCTGGGGGTCTGGGAACCGCGTGGTGACGGACCGCGCGGTGGCCTCGAAACCCCAGGAGACCTCACCGCTCGGTCCGTCACCGCACGGTTCTGAGACCCTGGAGGCCCCAGCCGCCCGAGGCATCCTCGGAGAAGGACCCGAGTTCCATGGCTGGGCGGTGGCCCAGAATCTCCACTGACCCAATTTCCTTAACTCAACGCCGGTGCACAGTTCGCAGTGTGCTGCAAGCACGGCCCTCTGTGGGGCCTCTGGGGCAAATGCCTGCGGAGGTGGGGAAGCTTTGCTGCAATCCCGCCCATCCCGCCTGCGCAAAACCATGTATGCGAGCATCTTGCCAGAACCTGATTTCAGAACAATCCGCAGGATGCTCGAAGACTGGGGGCTCTTCACGCGGTGTGCTCACCACACCTCGGCCACGAGCAAGGAGTGACCATAGGCAAGAGTGACCATTGGTGCGCGATCTTCGGGGAGAGCCGGAGGGCCAAACCCGGGCGGGGAAGCTGCTGCGGTCGCGTCGCGCTCGGCCATCTGAAGACCCCCGTGGGCCCACACCACGGGTCACTCCGGCGAAAGGTTACCCTGACGTGTAGCCGAGGGCCCCCGATTGGGGAAATCAGAGGATGCCGATACCGCGACTACCCTGGGGAGCGTTCTGACCAGAACTCCGACGCGAATCGGGCGCTGGCGACGAGGGCCTCCCAGGACCCAGGACCCAAAAAGACGAGAACTGGGCAAGGGCGGCGGTACCGGTTACCTCTCCCCCTCTGGGGACAGAGAGAGTTCGAGCTGCCTCCCAGAGGCCCCAGACGGGCGACAACGAGGCAAAGGCAGCGGCATGTGCACCTCTTCTTCTGATTATTCTTCGTATTCGTATGTTTTTTCTTCTCCCCATTCGTATTATTATTACTACTACTATTATTATCATTATTATTATTACTATTATTATTACTACTACTATTATCATTCGTATTATTATTATTATTATTATTAATATTATTATTATCATTATTGTCATTAGTATCATGATTATCATTAGTATCATTATTATTAGTATTATTATTAGTATTATTATTGTTATTTTCATTATTAGTAGTAGTAGTATTAGTAGTAGTAGTAGTAGTAGTAGTAGTAGTACTACTACTACTACTCTTCTCCTCCCTCTTCTTCTTCTTCTTCATATTATTAGTATTACTGTCATCATTAATATATTATTGTTTGTGTTATTATTATTAGTATTAGTCTTATTATTATCATTATTACTATTACCATTAATATTATTATGGATGTTACTTTAGTGCTCTTCTTATGACCGATCTCCTGCTCACCGCCGGCCGCGCTCGCGCCGCTGCTCCTGAGCACCGTTTCACCGATCCCTATCCTACCCGGCGCGGCCTGGGCCCCACGGGCCGGCGTATCCCTCCAAGTGGGGATCTAAGCTGTTCCCCTCGGGCCTCGAGGGGCAAATATGTCCAACTGGGGTAGTGGGATGGTGCGGATCGGGATGGGGATGGAGATGGGGATAGGGTTAGGTCGGACGTGTCCTCCTGCAGGCGGATTTTGGACGAAAAATAAAAAATACTCAAACAAATGCCCCCCACAGGAAAAATACCAGAAAAATCGTCCCCAGACTATGCTTGACTACTTTTGCAGATTCCTCCTGCAGAGGGACGCGCCCTACTTTAAGGATCGGGATCGGTGAAACGTTGGAGGCTTAAAAATGGGCACCAACACCAACACCGAGGGTTGCCTCCACCAGGGGAAGGTGGCCCTAGATTTTTGTGTTGGTGGTAATATTTCGGCCACCTTGGAAGCCCGAATATTACCACCATCACCGAGATCGGGATCATCTCCCATCGGTGAAGCCACATCGCCGATATTGGTGTTGGTGTCAACCTCTAGGCCTCCGAAAGTGATGCTGGGCTCCTGCCCGCGCGCTCCCCCGCCGCTGCCTCGCCGAAGGGCGCCAGCGGCTGCACCGCGGCCCCGGCAAGCGCCACCGGCCTCTCCGACGCCTCCCCCTCGGACGCCGAGGCCTCGGAAATCTCCTCCTCCTCCTCCTCCTCCTCCTCCTCCTCCTCCTCCTCCTCCTCCTCCTCCTCCCGCTCCTCCTCCTGTTCCTCCTGCTCCGCCTCCTCCTCCTCCTCCTCCTCCTCCTCCTCCTCCTCCTCCTGCTCCTCCTGCTTCTCCTGCTCCGCCTCCTCCTCCTCCTCCTCCTCCTCCTCCTCCTCCTCCTGCTCCTGCTCCTGCTCATGCTTCGCGCCTCCCCATCCGCGTCGTCGTCGCCGTCGTGGTCGTGGTCGTGGTCGTCGTCGCCGCCGCCGCCGCCGTCGCCGTCGTCGTCGTCGTCGTCGTCGTCCCCCGCCCTCAAGGGTCGGCTGCACTGGCTGTGAGGCCTTCGCACTACCCCCCCCCATCGACCGGGGAGGCGGCCTGCTGAACGCCAGCAGCGCACCCGGGAACTGCCAGGAGCAGCAGCGCGGCCCTGGCAAGTCGGCTCACCATGGCCCCGCTTGTGATACTGTTTCGGTCACGCGTTCGATCATGGACCCCGTGTTACCCACTAGCACTGGGCGGTCTTCCGCGGTCTTCGGCTGTCTTCTGGCGGCCTTCGGCGGTGTGCTGACAGTCTTCGGCGGTCTTCGTCGGTTTCAGGCGGTTTTCGGCGCGAAAGCTGGATAGCTGCGAGTGCCAAAAGGGTTCATGGTCGAACACCTAATTTCGGTACGCGGAGGGGACCTGGGCAGACCGACGAGCACCGAACAGGAACGGCTTGAGCCTGAATGGGCACCAAGAAGTCTTCGGATACCCGTGGACGCCCCTGGGAGGCTGCTTGGACCCTCCACAGTGCCGTAGGCACTGAGTGGAGTGTCCTCAGGTGCCTTCGAGTTCTCTGTACTGTACATTGCTGATGCCCTTTAGAATGACCCAGTGCCAAAATTATCGGGCGATCCTGGGGCTCTCGGGGCGTCTGGTATAGTTCTTGTGTGTGTCAAGAGCTTCGAAGCGTGGTTGGGGCTTCATACTTCCAGCATGGGCGAAGATGCTCCCAGGGCCCGTCTTGGAGCCCTCTTGGTCGCTTCTGGGGTCGTCTTGGAGGCTTTGAGAGCCGCGCCAAGAGGCCAAATTCGCTGAAGAACGTAAGCTATCTCACTTGTTCGGTCTCAAGAGCGGCCGAGACGGCCCAGCAAGCCTCCAAGATCACCCCAGGACGGCTTCCAGGCCCCCAAGAGGTTGCCCCAAGATGGCCCCAAGAGGGGCTAAGAAGGGGAAGCACGAGCTTGCATTCCAAACACTCCACCACAAAATGACACCCGAGACCGCCAGGAGGCACTCGAGCCCCAAGAGGCCCTCACGAGGCCCTCAAGATGCCCCCAAACTTGGCGGCGCGCAGGGGGGGGGGTACGGGGAGGGGGGAAGGCCCCTTTGAGGAGACTGCTTCTTGCAAGGCGCTGGCCCTACATCTACAGACATGGCCCGCGCCTTCTAAGAAGCACGGGTGATTCTAAGAAGCCTTCCCCCCCATCGCCCTAATTACCCCCCCCTCCGTGTGCGCGTGGCCGGCAAGAGGCCCCCACGCGGCCCTTGAATGCCCCCAATAGGCCCCCGGGAGACCCTAAAAGGCCCCGAACGGGCCTCCTCCTCCTCCTCCTCCTCCTCCTCCTCCTCCTCCTCCTCCTCCTCCTCCTCCTCCTCCTCCTCCTCCTCCTCCTCCTCCTCCTGCCTCCTCCTCCTGCCTCCTCCTCCTGCCTCCTCGTCCTGCCTCCAAGATCCCTCCAAGGTGGCCCCCCAAGTGACATCGGAACGAGGCCCCTGGCAGGCGCGATGGCGGGCCGCTGCCCTTGGCTTGCATAGGGATGCTGAGCGTGTCGAGGTCTAGTCCTTCCTGGCCCTTCCAACACCAGTATGCTAACGGAATTCCCCACATAAGGAAGTTAAGGGCTTCGTGGGATCAGTGAGGCAAAATCATAACAGTATGAATGGACGGGCAATCGCAAAAGTGCGTGCAAAAGAAACGGCAGACGAAAGCACGGAGGGGGAGCAGCAGGAAGGAAGACGACGGCTGTTCAGGAAGCATGTTCGTCCCTGGGGGAGTAGGAGTGACAGAAAAAACGGATAAGTAACAATATGGCTTTCGAATACCCTCCTCTCTCGAGCGGGGCCTCCGTGGAGGAATGGGATGGGCACGAAACCTGATAAATAACCTGGTTTTCGAAAACCCTCCTCGCTCAGACGGGGCCTCCCTGGACGAGTGTGAGGGGCACGACACCTGACAAATTCGCAGGCCCAACGGGCCAGAGGCGTGCTAAGATCTCCGGTAACTACTTGACAATATGTCTAGTTCGCGCGAGGCGGGGCGGCCCCTGGGGGGCCCCGGACGAAGAGTACCCCGGCCGATCCCCGGCTGACCCCCGGGCGATCCCCAGGGGGGAGGCTATTTTTCGCCACCCCTCACGAGGATCGTGGCCTCCGAGGAGGGGGGGCTGCCAACGACTACCCCCCCTCCCGCCCCAAGGGGCCCCCAAGAGCCCCCCAAGAGGCCCCAGAGGAGCCCAATACGCCGCCAAGGAGCTCCAAGACGCTCCCAAGAAGCCCCCAAGAAGCCCCCAAGACGGCCCCAAGACGGCCCCAGATAGCGCTCCAGGGCCGGCGGAATGAGCGAAGCGATTAAATAACATGGTGTTCGCAGACCCTCCTCGCTCAGGCGGGGCCTCCCTGGAGTAGGAGGGGCACGACAGCTGATAAATAGCATGGTTTTCGAAGACCCTCCTCGCTCAGGCGGGGCCTCCCAGGAGGAGTGGGAGAGGCACGAAACCTGATGCATAATATTGGTTTCGAATACCCTCCTCGCTCAGGCGGGCCTCCCTGGAGGAGTAGGAGGGACACGAAACCTGACAAAAAACATGGTGTTCGTATACCCTCTTCGCCCAGGCGGGGCCCCCCTGGAGGAGTGGGAGGGGCACGCCACCTGATAAATAACATGGTTTTCGAATACCCTCCTCGCTCAGGCGGGGCCTCCCTGGAGGAGTGGGAGGGGCACTAAACCTGATACATCACATGGCTTTCGAATACCCTCCTCGCTCAGGCGGGGCCTCCCTGGAGGAGTAGGAGGAGCACGAAAGCTGATAAATAGCATGGTTTCGAAGACCCTCCTCGCTCAGGCGGGGCCTCCCTGGAGGAGTGGGAGGGGCACGAGACCTGATAAATAACATGGTTTCCGAATACCGTCCTCGCTCAGGCGGGACCTCCCTGAACCTGATAAATAAAAAACATGGTTTTCGAACACCCTCCTCGCCAAGGCGTAGCCTTCCTGGAGGAGTGGGAGGGGCACGAAACCTGATACAGAACATTGTTTCTCGAAGACACTCCTCGCTCAGGCGGGGCCTCCCAGGAGGAGTGGGAGGGGCCCGAAACCTGATAGATAACATGGTTTTCGAATACCGTCCTCGCTCAGACGGGGCCTCCCTGGAGGAGTGGGAGGGGCACGAGACCTGATCAATAATATGGTTTTCGAATACCCGCCTCGCTCAGGCGGGGCCTTCCTGGAGGGGCGAGAGGGGCACGAAACCTTATGAATAATATGGTATTCCCATAAAGTCCTCGCTCTGGCGTAGCGTAGATTTGCTATAATAGGTGAGGTATGGTATGGTAGGTGAGGCATGGTATGGTATGTTTGGTATGATAGATGATATGGTAAGTATGGCATGGTATGGCAGGCATGGTAGGTATGGTATGGTATGGTATGGTATGGTATGGTATGGTATGGTATGGTATGGTATGGTGTGGTGTGGTGTGGTGTGGTGTGGTGTGGTGTGGTGTGGTGTGGTGTGGTGTGGTATGGTATGGTATGGTATGGTATGGTATGGTATGGCATGGTATGGTAGATATGGTATGGCATCGTAGGCGTGGTATGGTAATTAGGAATGGTATGGCAGGCAGGTATGGTATTGGTACGTACTGGTATGGTGTAGGAGGGAGGCGGGAGAAGGACAAGGAGAAGGAGGAGGAGAAGGAGAGGGTGTTCTAGGAAAACAAAAACCCATGTGGGGAAAAATCAGGTTGGCCTCTGGCCCAACCTTCCGGCCGCCCAGGCGGACACCCAAAAGCAACATCCAACGGGCTCTCCCGACCAATATGGCGCTAAGAAAGTCTCCGAGATGGCCAAGGTGGCCAGATGTCCTCTAAGACTCCCAAAACTGCTCTTCAAGACGATCAAGCTTGCCCCAAGAGGGCCCAAGATGGCACGAAGACGACTCCAGCTGGCCTCAAGACCGTCCAAGACGCCCCCGATACGGCCCCAGAGCGCTCCCAGAGGCTCTCCAGGAGGGCTCGAAGAGGCTAAAATCCGTGATATCCGTCATGTGTTTGGAGGTTTTCGGGTTCTCTCCTGCGCGGGTTCCCGGCAGGCCGAAGAAGGCAAAATCGATAATCACGGCTGGAGTGATGATAGCTGAAATGAAGCATGTGAGAATGATGTTGGTGGCCGTTCCCTTCGCACCCCCTATGGTGTCGAGAAAACGGCACGCCTGCTACGCCCTGGACGACCAGCTCGGATAGCGGGCGCGCTGAGAGACCACCACCTGCGGACCCCCATAAGGTTACAAGAATATGCCACGCCTGCTACGCGGATGGGCGGAATGGGAGGGAGGGGCGGCATGGGAGGGGGGGAAGGAGGATGGGGGCGACAGTGTCGAGAAATTCCAACGCCTGCCATGCCCTGCGCGCCTGCAACGCATAGAGACCGCACCCCCTGCGCACCCTCCTGGCGTCGAGAAAGTACCGCGCCTGCCGTGCTCTGCGCGCTTGCAACGCATAGAAACCGCATCCCCAGTACACCCCCTCTGGAGTCGCTGACGGGCCCTGCGCGCCTGCGCCTGCAACGCATAGAGACCGCACCCCCAGTCCACCCCCTCTGGTGTCGAGAAAATGACACGCCTGCTGCGCCGTGCGAGCCTGCAACGGATAGAGACCGCACCCCCCGCGCACCCCCTCTGTTATCGAGACACTGCCACGCCTGCCGCCGTTGTGCTCAGCTGCGTCTCTGTACTGAGCTGAGCTGTGCTTGCCCACGCGCACACGTACATGCAAGCCCACACACCGTGCACGTGGTGTGCTGAGCTGTGCTGAGCTGTGCTGTGAGCTGTGCCGTGGAGGAGGGCAGGAAGGAGGGAGGAGGGAGGTGTGAGGGAGGAGACGCGGGTGCGACGCGGCAGAGAAGAAAACCATAACCCCACGAAACATGTGGGGAACTATACGATCACCCTTCGAGTGATAAGGAGTTTGGGGGGTGGGGGTGAAAGAACCAACTGCTGCCAAATGCGATGCGTGTGATGATGACGATGCTGGTGACGCGCCCTCGACTTAGCAACGAAGCGTGATGACTGTGTTGCGCTGCCATGTTAATGTCATACCCCCCCCCTCTTGCTATCGCCCAGGATTAGCAGGAGCGCCCTCCACTCTTGGGCGACGCTCAACAGGGTGCGAAAAATGGGCGGGGAAGAGACGTGCATTTCTCGGGCCCCAAAGGCCCCTTTGGGGCCTAAAGGGCTCCTTTTCTGTAGCACTCGCTGCCCCCCCATTCATCGCCCCCCCATTACGCGTAGGTCGAGCGTGTCCCCCTGCAGGCGGATTTTTGACGAAAAATCCAGATAGCCAAAAAATACTCAAGGATGGCCAAAACTAGTCGAAACATCGTCCCCAGACGATTTTTGACAATTTGTGATTATTCCTCCTGTAGAGGGACGTGCCCGACTTAACATTATGCGACGCTCTCCGCTCGGCGGTGGACAAACCTCCCTTCAATAAATCACCCTTTTGTGAAAACGGCCTAGGACCGAAACCGACGGACCTGGACCCGCAAAAGTGACGGCCGCGACGCCCTCTCGCGAACCGAAAACGGCCCATTCGCTAGTCGACGTGTCAGGGCAGGAGGTCTATCAACCTCCGATCCGCTGCGCGCGCCGGGTGAAGCCGCGTCTCCTGCGGCGGCGAAGCGAGCGCCGCGTCGCACGCCGCGTCCACCCGCAGGGAACCCTGCGCCTCGGGTGGTGCGCACGGGGGGGGGTCCAAGGAGGAGGAGGAGGAGGAGGAGGAGGAGGAGGAGGAGGAGGAGGAGGAGGAGGAGTAGGAGGAGGAGGAGGAGGAGGAGGAGGAGGAGGAGGAGGAGAGAGGAGAGAGGAGGAGGAGGAGGAGGAGGAGGAGGAGGAGGAGGAGGAGGAGGAGGAGGAGGAGGAGGAGAGGAGGAGGGGAGGAGGAGGAGGAGGAGGAGGAGGAGGAGGAGGAGGGGAGGAGGAGGGGGGAGAGGAGGAGGGGGAGGAGGAGGAGGAGGAGGAGGAGGAGGTGCAGGTGGAGTGAGGTGGAGGAGGATGAGGCGGAGGAGGTGGAGGACGGGAGGAGGGGGTGGGAGGAGGAGGAGGAGGAGGAGGAGGAGGAGGAGGAGGGGAGGAGGAGGAGGAGGAGGAGGAGGAGGAGGAGGAGGAGGAGGGAGAGGGGGATGAGGAGGAGACCCAAGCTGCTGCTGGGCCTGTGCCCACGGCGCGAGGTGCAGCTCCTTGCCATCGCTCGGAGGTCCATTCTCCGTGCAGGTTTCGGTGCAAGATGCCCCTCGATGGTCCTCGCCGAGAGAAATCGCACCCGTCCAGGCGATACCAAGACTCTTGTGCCCCGAAGGGGCCCCAAAGGGGCCCCATCTGGGGCCCAAAAGGAGCACGAGAGGTGCACGTCTCTCCTCCCCCCTTCCCAGACCCCGACGTCATGATTTTTTCAAAACGTCGACCCCACAGAGATCGACCCATTCTGCGGGACCGGCTTTTCATCCCGAACACTTTTTTGACGGCCCCGAGGCCCCAGTCAGGGCCCCCAGAAGCTGAAAATAGCGAAACCCTTCTGTCGCTTGTTGAAATGACTCGAAGAGGCCTGGCTTATCGACCCCCCCTTACGCAACGCCCGAGCGCCAGCACCGGCGCCAGCGCTGGCTGCGAAGGCCGCCACGGCCGCGCGGAGGCTGGCTCGAAGGCCGCCGCAGCCGCGGGGGCAGCGACGGCCAGCGAGTGGCGCCGGAGAAGGGCGGCCTCGGTAATGGGACGCAGAAGGACATAAGAGTATGTGACCTCATTGGAGGCGTGCGTCCGTCCAGATCATCTATAGTACAGCAATATAGCAGTAGATCGTTACCCCAGCAGTATGGCCAGAAAGCACCTGCCACCGAGCATTCACTATCAGATTTCTGAGCGCGCGCGCGCGCCCCCTTGGGGACGACGCACACACACACACACACACACACCGTATGAGTAGTTTGGCTGATGCCGAGGTGAGGTCGGGAACGTTTGCTCAGCGTGTCGCGGCCGCGGCCCTGGTGACACGCTAAAGTAAGGGCATTTTCTCACCTCAGGTCCTGGGGGGGGGGATTGCTCGCAAATAAGTAACCGTTGGATGAGGAATCCGGGGTCTCAAGCAGGGTGGAACTCCAATCGTGGAGCGTCCACGGATACATATCACCACCGCCATCATCATAGAAGGAATCCTCCCAAGTCGGGAGCCTCCTGGGCACACTCCTTGAAAGCGGACAGCGTGTCGCTCCGCTCCGCGGGGCGGGAGGCCAGGATAAGCTGGACTGCCGATGCTCGGGGGGAACGAAAGGGGGGGATAGCAAAGGGTAGGGTAGAGAATCAGCTCACGTAGCTGATTTTCCCAGCGCCTCCCGGCGCCGGGAGGCGCCCATGTATCGAGGAAAGGGCCCGGCGGCGGAGCCGAAACCAGCTGCATGTAGCAGATTTCGTAACCCCCCCTTCCACTATCCCCCCCTTTCGTTCGGCCCGATCGAGGGTCTCGGGACGTGGTTAGCGTGTCGCGCCAAGCGCGGTGGGCCACAGAACCGACGGCGCGACACTGGGGCGGCCTCGATACATCCGACCCCTGGGCGGCCCGAACTCGAATAGGGGGCCACATGCGAACCCTACCCCTACCCCCCACGACTTCTTAGGGGGAGGGTGGGGTTCACTTCGCTCGGGAGCTCTCATACGAAGTGAACCCCACCCTCCCCCCCAGAAATCGTGAGGGGTAGGGGTAGGGTTCACATGTGGCCCCCTATCGAATCCAGATATCCGACCAACGGTTCTTCGGCGGCGAGCGAGGGGGGTAAATGATCAGGAGGAGGCCTTCTCAGAAGGCGCCGGGACTTCTCAGAAGCCCTCGCGCCTTCTGGGAAGTGCCCTCTGTCTTCGGGGAAGGCTATAAGAAAACTTCTCGGAAGGCCGGGGGACTCCAGAGCCTTCTGAGAAGGCCCGCCCCTTCTCACCTCCCCCCCCTGGCTCACCGCCGATGGTGGGCCAGAGTCGGCAAAGAGACACGCTACACAAAATAAGCATGGGGGAGACGGGTTCTGAGGGAAGCGGGTCCTGGACCCTGGGGCCTTCCCCCAGGAGGAGGTCTTCATCCTGAGTCGTTTCCTGATAGTCCCAGGGCCTGCGGAGGGCCCTGGGGGCCAGAAAAAAATGCGACAAAAGCCTCGGGACCAGTTTGCCTCAGCAGGACCCGTCTCCCCGGGCTCGCCGCTGAGTTTTTTCTCAATCCAGAAGCTTCTCCTCGATCTCGGGACCCTCACACTTGGATCTGAGACGAAAGACTGTCCCTGGGGGGAAGTGGTCAGAACATCTGGGGCAGCGCCGTGACAGACTCACAGCGGCGTGATCACTACCGCAGGTAGGACGGGGGAGAGGGGAGGTTGGGGAGGTCCTCCTCCTGTTCCTCCTCCTCCTCCTCCTCCCCCTCGTCCTCCTCCTCGTCCTCGTCATCACTTCTCCTCCATATCTAACTCCACCTCCTCCTCCTCCTCTCCTCCTCCTCCTCCTCCCTCCTCCTCCTCCTCCTCCTCCTCTCCTCCTCCTCCTCCTCCTCCTCCTCCTCCCCCTCATCCTCATCCTCGTCCTCGTCCTCATCCTCCTCCTCATCCCCCTCCCTCCTCCCCCTCCTACCTATGGTAGTGGGGGCCGCGAAGGGAAAGACTCAGAGCGGTGGACGCCTGGGAGTCAGTCAAACAGTGCGGCGGTCTCGTTTGCCATTTTCCTGCCTGCTGGGGCCGTTCTTGGGCCTCAGGAGCCGTCGGAGGCCCATCTGGGGCGAAGCATCTACCCCAGGGAGGCGTGCACATCGCAAGAAAACAGGGCACGGGAGGTCTGGGAGCAAAGTGCCAGATCAGTAAAGCAAGTGCGAGCACAAAGGGATCGAGGCCGATGGGCCGATGAAGACCACCTCCCCACAGGGGGCGGTGCACCGCGGGCTCCGAAGCCGCCCCTCGGCCCAGGAATACCACAGCGGGGTACACCCACTAAGTGTATCAAAAGTGTGCGAACTAATGCGTTTCACGCTCGCATGCGTTGAGACGAAACTACTCAAGTCGCTTGCGTTCGCGCACTGCGTTCCGCGATGCACGGCGCGGCTATCTTCGCGCCCTCGCGACCACGCGTCGCCCACCCCTGACGAAGGGTAGCTCTCCCAGGGGACCCTCAAGTGGGGTCCGAGTGGATGGGGTGGGGGGATCTCGCCGATGCTTCGCCGATACGTCGGCGATGTATCGGCGATGCGTCGGCGACGTCGGCGATGCATGGCCGATGTGGCTCCGCATCGCGGCGTACCGCTGCTGCATCGACGATGCAGAGCGGTCCTCCGACCCCTTTCAACTCGGGACGCCATCTGGCAGGCTTCTAGGGAAGCTCCACGTCGACGCCGCCGATGCATCGCCAAAGTCGACGATGCATCGCCGATGCATCGCCGATGCATCGACGGTGCGGCGCGACCTCCCGAACCCATCTACTGGGACCCCATTCGGGACGCCTCTGACCTCTCGCGCCGCATCGCCGATGCATCGACGATGTGGCGCGCTGCTCCGACCCCATCCATTCGGACCTCATCTGAGAGGCCTCTGGGACAGCTCACGTCGACGTCGCCGATGCATCGACGATGCATCGTCGATGCATCACCGATGCATCGGCGATGCGGCGCGATCTTCCGACCACCATCTACTCGGACCCCATCTGGGCGGCCTCTGGGAGAGCTCCACGTCGACGTCGCCGGCACAGCGCCGACGTCGACGAATCATCGGATCTTCCGATTCCATCTACTCAGACTCCATCTGAGAGGCCAGCCATGGGACGAGGTTTTCCGACCCCGTCTACTCGGACCCCACCTGGGAGGCCTATGCAAAGTTCGCCAAACATCTCCACACCCATGGAACATGAAAGACATAATGTGCACACGCGTTGAAGCCCTTGTCGCGCACTCTTTGGTCTAGGACTGAGTATGCCCACTTTCTCGGGCACCCCTGGTCCTGTCCGTCTCCAGCATTTCGGCGTTTGACTGGCTATCCTCATCAGGACCTGCCACAACCAACCACACGGGGCAGCCCGACGCTGTCACGAACGACACCTCCGTTTCCGATTGTGTCAAAGATTAGTGTGTGTGTGTGTGTGCAACAGCCAAATCGCCAGAAGATGTTAAGCGGGCTCGGTGAGATGAGCGCAAACAGTTGAACTGCCTGCGTCAGCCTAGAGCCTGGCCGATTGGCCTTCAGAAAAAGGAGGGAATAACTCTTTGAGCTTGAGAAATGTCGGGCGCGATCATCCGACCCCACCTACTCGGACCCCATCTGGGAGGCCTCTACGGGAGCTCCACGTCGACGTCGCCGATGCATCGACGTCGTCGCCGATACATCTGTGATGCGGCGCGATCTTCCGACAACCGTCTACTCGGACCCCACCTTGAAGGCCTCTGAGCTCTTGCGCCGCATCGCCAATACATCGACGATGCGGCGCAATGCCTCGACCCCATCTACTCGGACCCCATCTGGGAGGCCTCTGGGTGAGCTCCACGTCGACGTCGCCAATGCATCGCCGACGTCGACGACGCATCGCCGATGCATCGGTGATTCATCGACGAGGCCACGCGATCATCCGACCCAAGCTGCTCGGACCCCATTCGGGACGCCTCTGAGCTCCCGCGCCGCATCGGTGATGCATCAACGCTGCAGTGTGATCCTCCGACACCATCTACTGGGACCCCATCTGGGAGGCCCCTAGGGAAGCTCCGACGGCGCGATCTTCCGACCACATATACTCGGACCCCGTCTGGGGGGCCTCTGAACTCTCGAGCCGCATCGCCGATGAATCGACGATACCAAACGATCCCCCGATCCCCATATAGGCGGGCCACATATGCGACGAATCTGGGAGAGCTCTACATCGTCGTCGCCGATGCATCGCCAACGACGACGCGGCGCGATCCTCGGACCCCATATACTCGGACCCCATCAGGGCGGCCTCTGGGAGAGCTCCACGTCGACGTCGCCGGCACAGCGCCGACGTCGACGAATCATCGGATCTTCCGATTCCATCTACTCAGACTCCATCTGAGAGGCCAGCCATGGGACGAGGTTTTCCGACCCCGTCTACTCGGACCCCACCTGGGAGGCCTATGCAAAGTTCGCCAAACATCTCCACACCCATGGAACATGAAAGACATAATGTGCACACGCGTTGAAGCCCTTGTCGCGCACTCTTTGGTCTAGGACTGAGTATGCCCACTTTCTCGGGCACCCCTGGTCCTGTCCGTCTCCAGCATTTCGGCGTTTGGCTGGCTATCCTCATCAGGACCTGCCACAACCAACCACACGGGGCAGCCCGACGCTGTCACGAACGACACCTCCGTTTCCGATTGTGTCAAAGATTAGTGTGTGTGTGTGTGTGCAACAGCCAAATCGCCAGAAGATGTTAAGCGGGCTCGGTGAGATGAGCGCAAACAGTTGAACTGCCTGCGTCAGCCTAGAGCCTGGCCGATTGGCCTTCAGAAAAAGGATGGAATAACTCTTTGAGCTTGAGAAATGTCAAGCGCGATCATCCGACCCCACCTACTCGGACCCCATCTGGGAGGCCTCTAAGGGAGCTCCACGTCGACGTCGCCGATGCATCGACGTCGTCGACGATGCATCAGTGATGCGGCGCGATCCTCCGACCCAGTCTACTCGGACCCCACCTGGAAGGCCACTCAGCTCTCGCGCCGCATCGCCGATACATCTGTG